TTGAATATCGAGCAGTTTGACTTTCAAAATTCGATGCTCATTGTTTAAAGTTTTAAATTTGCTGATTTGAGAATAAAATAAAGATATGTTGTGACAGTTATGAAATGGTAATACTGTTAAAAGTTTATTCGGGAGATTCATTCACGAAAATTCTCTTCATCTAGTTTTTAATTATCACGTCCTTGGCTCAACTCTCTTCCTCTCATCAGCTTTAGAATTTTCAGTTATATAATTTTTTTGGATTTTTAAGTATGAAAACCATTTTTGTACGGAAAGTAAATGCTATAAATTTTAATTTTGAACTCATTTGTGAACACGCAAAATAAACTAATCCTATATTTTATCACTCGTAATTCTAACATTTCCTAAGAAGAACTTGTACGATCAACATATTAGCAATATTGAGGTATGGTCGTCGAGATGACAAAATATTTAAAAAGCTTAACTATACAGTTTATGTACTAAGAATGGTTTAAAAAATGAGTTAGTCAAGATTCTTTTAGTTTGTGGTCAAATAATAAAGAAAAAGGACCAGCATATAGCTTTTGGTTCCTTCATATCTAATATTCATAATTTGGAAACTGAAGCTGGAAATATTTGGAAGTTTCCCAAATTTTTTTCCACTAAATTTCATGCACATTTGTTGGCAAGCAGTCTCCTTTTTAAAAAAATTTCAGATAGTGAAAGACAAAGGCAGAAAGGCAAAAGTTGGAAAGGCATTCAACAATGCATGCTAGAGAAAATTTTGGTCAACGAAATGAATAGAGAGAGAAGTGGAGAAGGGAGTGAGAGAAAATTGGGTTTTCTTTGCCTTCATGACTAATTATGTATATGAAAGAAGTTGGTCTGAATACGGCTTATGCTAGGATAAGTTAGGGTGGGATTAATTATGTTGGTATTAGTTATCTTGATGTTATTTTTTATTTATTGTTTAGTATGTTGTATTAAAAATGACAATTGTATAATTTTTAAGAAGTATGTATAAGTTATCCCGGCACTAATTACCCCATCTTCTACAAGGTATAAGTTATCCCGGTACTAATTTTAATCTCGGGATAACTTCTACCAGATTTGCTAACCAAACAAAGTATTAAGATGGTATTAAATTTTTATACCAATACTATACCTTCTTATACCTCATACCAAACGACCCCTGACAGTATAATTTACACTATCAGTGCAGTTTAATTTGTATCATAAAAAATTAGTTGCAGTATTTCTCATGTACCAAATTATATTCACTTATTATGAACGAATATATAAATACTACTCTTTTAATTGATCTGATAATATGACATGCTTTTTAACTATCAATAGAATTAAACTCGTATATGGGTATTCAGTAGAACTAAACTCGTAAATGGGTATTCATTATCTAAAACTTAACGTACAACATTAATTAGTTTATTTTGTACTAACACATAAGTTATAAAATTGCTTTTATCGAGATTCATACCCTTAACTATGCATTGATCTTAATGGAAAAATACATTTTTCTTTCTTTGACAAAGGTGACCAACTTTATCAATGAATTAGTAAATTTATTCGTGTTTCGCGCGGTTTATAATGCATAGTAAATTTTTAGAAAGATTAGTAGAGAGTATAATGAATTTATGTACTACAGTATATCTCTTTTTATGAAAAAGAGAACACTTAGGAGTATAAATAACATACTTTTGAATTAATTCATAATTTTGGTTTAGTTAGAATATATACTTCAATATAAATTATAATATATCATATGTTACGACGGAAGCTTATTTAAGCTTTGTTTAATTAAGGAAGATTAAATAAAATAATATTAAAACCAAAAATTAAAATTAATATTACATAACTCTCATCTTAAAACTTATACGAAAAGAATCTTAAATTATAATTAGTTATATACAGAGAAGATGAAAGTTTATTTAATTGAAACTTTGAGAAGATTTTTTTCCAGAAACTTGAGAAGATGAAATACAAACTTTTCAATTATTGATAAGACATCGTTAGGAAGACCACCTCTTGCCCTTTGCAACACAAAAATTTAGAACTTGCACGCTGAAATCTTTTTCTTTGAGGGTACATGTAAAATGCTAAAATAAGCAACAACAAAAGATAGATTACATATTTGTAAATAATTTTAAAACTTACAATGTGGCATAGACTTAAATGTTCTACTTTTTAAATCATCTCAAAACCTTCTTTCTGCAAAAATAAAAAATTACCTTACATTTTAAACCTTTCCCTTTGTATAAATTCTATATCGATTATATAGATACACAACTATTATTGTTACACAATTATCGTTTTTATTGAGTTCATCATGTTACACCTTTGTAACTCCGACATATCAATATATATTTTTTCTTGCCAAATGCATATTTTTAATGATTGATATTTACTTACATCTTGATGCATAACTTTTCTGTTAGTTCCTTACCATGTTATTATTTATTTTTAATTGCTTTCTATGCATTAATTCTAACTCTTTATCTTGTTGATATTATCTTTTTTTTTCTTTTAAGTTTTCAAAATTTTATTTTTGTCATGATCATCTCAGTCACCAATAAAAAATAAGTGGTTACATATATAGTAGCTGTTATTTTGTTTATTTTTCGATGCCATTCGATGACTTTTGACACGCAATTAAAAAGCATAGGAAGATAGAAGGAAAATGAAATATATAAATAATATTAAACAAAAAATAATAATTAAACTATCGTGTTTCTATCCATTATACATTAACCAAAATAAATGAAAGATTTTTTCCCATATATTCAAAATATACTATACATTCTTCTCCAATAGAGACGAATCACATATATAGATAGAGATGTTGAAAAATAGGTGCACCAGTATCTCATTCAAGTGCCAACGATGTATTTAGTTGCTTCATGGGCTAAGGACATGTAGGCTTTGTTTCTTCTGTTAGTGATACGACCATGAACACTGTGGTAGACCATGCATGCCTTCCATGGGCGTCCCAAGTAACTTGCAATCTTGAAAAAATTTTGGTGTGGATTTTTCAATTGGTATGAACTGAGCATTCTCTATGTTATCAGTGCTATATATAGTGTTAAGAGAGATTTTGTCTTAGGAAGAAAATGACTATTTGTTTTCCTCAATTACTGCTACTATAATTATATTCATTGCCTCCACCGTTACATTACAGCACCATACTTTTGGATTAGGGAATTTCCTCCTTTCCTGCAACTATTTATTACCCTCAAAAGTCACACCTCTTCAATGCCTCCATTACTTACAGCACCGTTACTTACATACAACAATAAATAAGTGAGTAATTATACGGGAGGACAGAAGAAGCAAACTATTAAAAAATCCAAACAAATGATAAAGAATGAAGGAGAAATTGCAAAAAAAAGGAGAAAATAGATAAATACAAATGCTAGTCATAGCAAGGTGCCACATCAACTTTTCTATTCCCAACTTTATATTTATATATAGATCTTACTCATAAAAAAACAGAAGAGACCTCCACCCAACTTTGTTAGAAAAAGTTGCAAATAAGTTAACGCATAAAATGTAGGTCTAAACAATATATTTTCCTTGCTTAATTACCTAATTAATTATATAATCAAAACTTTGGTGGAAGCTGCTCTTGTTGTTTAGGAAAAGTTAAACAGGGATTTAGGACTTGAAAGAAAAAGATTGGTGGAGGGGTCCGCAGTAGTGGTGGGGATTTAATGATATTATTTTTATCCTTTTAAGTATATGGTATTTTGTTAAAAATTGGTTAATTCAAAATTCGATTATATGCGGTGTAGTGCCACTTAGGCGGAAAAAAAATAATTTTTACCATAAATTTCTTCATTCTCAAGACTCAATCGTAATTTTTGATTAAAGATGAAGAAATCCTAACCATTTCATAACATCCTATGATGATATGGTCATAGTAGTTATTTTAGCTAATTAGATTATGGTATTTCCTTTTCTTTCGAGATTTCAAAATTTTGAAAGTTTATGTCTTGTAAGGAAAGTAGACTAACGGTACAGTTATATACATGGTAATAAATAAACCAGCCCAACCTTGACCTAAATATATATATTCTCATTTCCTACTCCTTTCCTAGTATCTAAGTATTTCCTCTCCCCATTCCCTCTCCCTAGCTATAATTCTCCAAAGAGTAACGAGGAGAAAAGAAGACATCTTGGTTTTTCTTTGGTCATCAGAAGAAGAAGAAATCTTGGTTATTTAGCCAGAACTGTAGAAAAAGTATTGATGAAGGATAGCTAGAATACTGTGACAAAGATATGGCGGACGAATGAATGAAGAAGTGCAAAACTTGGATGTGCCTGGCTCCCTGTATGCCACACACTTTCACCAATCCGCGAGTTCTTTGATTGGCCGATCAGTGAGTGGCGTGCGAGGAGCCAAGTATACCACATTATATTCTTATCTTCATCCTTCTCCCTTATACCTCCTCCGGTAAAAACTTATCCACATCAAATGTAAACATCTGGGGTGGATGTTTTTACCCTCTTCTCCCTGTCTTTAATCTTTCCTTTTCTTTGATTTTCACTACAAGAAAAACGGCCTTTAGAGAAGGGAAATCTGGTCCCTAAAAGGCCAAATCTGGTCCCCAAAGGAGAAATTACGACGGGATAAAGCTAGTCGCAACCCGTCGTAATAGCCTCCGCCGCTAAAAGTCAATAGCGACGGGTCAAAAAAACTGGTCGTTAAAAGCATTTAGGGACGGGCAATAATTCTGGTCGTAAAATAGTTTTAGAGACTATATACCTCGTCCCTAATATATGATGAAAAATTCATATATTCCTGTCTTTAACTGGTCCTAAATTATCTTTTAAAGATGGGCAGAAAATTTGGTCGTGAAATACTTTTAAACCACATATCTCGACCCTAATAGATGTTGAAAAATATATATATTCCAATCGTTAAACCATTTTAGCGACCAACCTTTAATTGGTCCTAGATTATATTGTGATTTAGCAATCGTATTCCTGGTCTCTTATTAAGAGTGAGTAATCCCAAAGCTCAATGCCACAAAGAGTTATTTTTATCAATAAATATCAAATTGTTATTGAAAAATCTAGATATAAAAAGATAATATATCAAGTTCACATCCCATGATGATGTTAATTTCTATATTTGCTCAACACCTGAACAAAAAAAGCTTAGCTAACATCCTGAGCTACATTAGGATATCAAGTTTTGAATAACAGCCCTAACAAAATAATAAATGAGCTTGTGCATCTTCTAAACTTGCATCTTGACTTGTAGCTTCAATCTTTAAAACCTGTAAGTACAAAAATTTAAAAAGATGATAAATAACTATTGGTAAAATAACATATGTAAATTTAAACTAGCAATAGTTAACTGCTTACCCCAAAAGCAGTCTAAATTCACCAGGTGTTATAGAGCAACATCAACAAGGCTATAGGAATATAAGAAAATTAATTAGAAAAGCTTTGGGATTGGTAAATCAAACTTTGGTTCGATAAATTCCGGTACAACAATTCGAGATTTACCATTTAAGAGAACAAATATTATGAACAGACAACAACATCACGAACTTGGTATCTTTAATCATAAGAGAACCATATCATCTACTTCTAGTGAGCACGGTCATTACCACTTACGTATGGAACAAACATGACATACAACAAATAAACAGGACATTCAAAATCATGTTCTACCAATATAATTCAAAATAAGATGAGGCAAGTTTCTCGTAGAATTCAGATTAAGCTCTTTAACTTGGAATTCTCACATGTTTTGAATACTACCACTTCCTGACTCGTTCAAGTCAAATAAACCGCAGAAAGAAACAAGTGACAAATTTTGATATTGAGGAGAAATCACTTGTAAGGTATTAAACAACTGCTTTACCTGACAGGAAACAAGTGCGTGGACAGCACTGTTTGCCGTCTCTGTATATATGATCATGTCAGGCCCTTGAGGTACTGGTCAGTTTGTTAAACGTTCAATGTAAGATGGTCCAGAATCAACCTATAATTCTTCTTTTAAATGACCTTTGATCTGCCTGGATTTTGAGTCAATAACTTACTCTTTTCAAGGGCCTATTTCTTATTGGCACATTAATGTTTCTAGTAATGACTTCACAAAAAAATTACAGATAGAAATACTAGATATCTCTTAACAAGAACACAGGTGGACTAAACATTTTGCAAGTTCTGTTCCCATGAAAAGAGATGAGTAGTAAAGTCCACGATGTCAGTTTTATCAAAATTCAATATCTTTAATCCGTCTCACAAAACGTTCACTGTAGCAGACCAGCTTGCTAATTGCAGTTAAGTTTCACGAAAAAAAAAATCATTCTTCACTCATGTCTTTTATGTCAAAAATTCCTTCAGTTGAATTGTCGAGTAGGTGTATATATTTGGTAAACTGATTATCTAAGCATGTATCACCGATGTTAGTGCAACAACTAATTGATGTAATTGTGTCTAAGAGGAGAAGCAAACAGTATGCACAGAGTTTTGCTAAGTTAGTTGTTCAAAATATGGAAGGGGTCTATAACTTTTTTTAAATGAAAAAGGTAAGATAAGCCTAAGGGGCCAATAACTTTCACCATATTACCAAAGTTATTTACAACATTTCTACTACACCACAAAAAATGATCCGCGAGCATCTAAGTACTACAGAAGATAGATGAGGCTTATCAAAATATTTATGGTTCCTTTCCATCCAAATTGTCTAAATTTACAGCAAGGGATAACTCTCCATATATTGCTTTTGGCTATTGTTTATCCTTTGTCTCTAGCAATGGTTTACTACAGCTTATAAGCTTATAGATTGTCAAATTACTTACTGCACCATTGTACATTCAATCCATATCTAGCTTCAATCACTATTCTGTAGGCTATTTCTTCTTGCCCTTCTCAGGTACTAATGATGAATTGCAAAAGTTTTTTAAAAAGTAAACTGCTAGAATGTGTAATATATAAATTGACTATACGAATATCAACTATATAAATTAAAAAGTTGGGTATATTGTTACTAACTTGGTCAGCAGACAAAACAGTGTTCATTCAGTTGAAACGGGCGATGTCGTAAGCGGGACATGTGATTGTTGAGCAGCGAAGAACTCTTTCATTTTCTTCATTTCTTTCATGTCATCTTCTAAGGTAGACAAGCGCTCCTGCAAGGATTTGTTTTCCTCATTCAAAGATTTGTTTTCTTCTCGAGTTGAACGTAGCGCGGACAGTAATTCAGCATTTGAAGAAGTTCCACTTTTCAAGTCTTTCGCCTTTACTCCACCCCCAAAGCCAAATACATGGCTACGAGTTTGAGGTCCACAATATTTTTCTATAATCTTTATGCTAGGTAGAGATGGATCTGATTGAATTATTCTTTGATTTGAGCCTACAAAATATATAAAGATACATTTAAATCAGAATCCATAATACTTTCAAGTAATTTACAAATTCAATTTACCAAACATACATGTTTTTCAATTGCTTCAGGTTCAACAAGCTTGTTATCTTT